CTATTGACCAACTCTTATTTTTGCCTTTGTACTTAAATTGTATAACATTCATTGGGATGAAAACTCACCTAGGTCCTCTACATGCCTTTAACACACAATAAAAAAATAATGTATTAGGCCTTGTACTTAGTTAATAATGAGATCATGTCATTATAAACAAATTAAGCAAATATTAATAATTTTTAAGAATGTACTACGTTCCCCTAGCTTTCACTGCAAACTTGTCAGTTGTTTATTCTTGGCTCCAAGAGATTTTTAAAATTAATCTTAAGGGTTGCTTGCATTAAAAAATTTATGTTAGATGACCAATATAGTCTGTTTTGTAGTTTAATTGTTAACATATTTTGTCTCTGATGCATATCAATTATGAGTAATAATATAATTTGATTGTGACAAGTACATCCTAATATATTTCTGAACTCATGCCTCGTCTTTTTCTCTCTATTATATATCAACTTAATATCACAATTGATATATAGACGATGAAGACACTACAATAAAATTGCCTAGAAAAAAGATAAAGGTGGAGAAAGATTGATATTAACTCAACTAAATATGAAAAAGAATGAATAAAGGATAATATTTTATAGTAAAACATAATTTTTTGAGTAAAATTAGGAGTTTTAGAAGTGATTTTCATGCAATTTTTTTAATATGCTTATGTGAATGATTTTGACATATAAAATTATACTAGAGTCATCATTAATCTTTAGTATTTTTTTAAGTCTATCAATAATTAAGATGTCTTGTAGTCTTGTGAAAAGTATGTGCTCTGTGCTAAGCTTATACAAACCATCTTAATATTAAGTATTTGGTTATTTATTTATTAACACATCAACAATATATTATTGTATTTTTTTCAAACTTAACACTACATTTAATGACTAAGATAAACAAATTGGAGATAGATGATTTAATCAAGTAAACAAATATGTTACATGAAGTTTAATATAATTTAAAAAATAAATGTTGTTCATGTAAATATATGAAAGTATATTGATCCTAGTTTTACATACAAATCTATTTCATAATTTTTTTAAAAATATTTAAATAAAATTTATGGAAAATATAATTATCCATGTTTATAGATTTTAGCTTAAAATAAATCTGACTTATTTTATAGTAATAAAATAAATAATAATAATAATAAGTAATTTTGATATTCAACCACGTGCCATTGCATGTGTGTAAGAACTAGTCATACTCCCTTTAAAGGTACGGGTTCGGTAAAATCTTTCTATGATCAATATTACCCCTTACTATTTTAAATATTTCATTTATATCTTAATCTATCCTAATCATAATTATATCATATCCTATTCCTACTATCCTAATCATAATTATATCATATCCTATTCCTACGCGAACTATCTATAGCTTAACAATTTTAAAAAATAATATTAATAAAATATATAAAACATATTTATGGCATTAGTTTATTAAGATAAAGAAATTATACGTAGCTAATGTACTATAATACATAAAGTATTGCAAAAAACCTAAAATATTTTAAATTTGCCCAAAATACCCTTAAAAGTTTAAAATTATAAAAACTATCCCGACATCTACAAAACTTAAAACAACAAACATGAAATTAAGAAATTAACAACAATTTACGAAGAGTTTAAAATTTGTGGTTAACATCTCAATTAATATCTTTAAAAGTATAGAAGCACCCTTAAAAGTTCAAATTATAAACAAACACCTGAAATTCTAAAATTTTAAAACTTGCAAATAACATAGATGAATTCAAAGTATTACCATAATGCACCTGAAAATTACTGACATTTCAAAACTTAAAACAATAAACATAAAATCAAGAAATTAACATCAGCCTCCGAAGAATTTAAATTTTTTAATTAACACCCTCAATGTCCTAAACATTATAGAAACACCCTCAAAAGTTTAAATTATAAAAAATAATAATAAAATCCTAAAAGGTTTAAAATTTATAAACAACAAAAGATGAATTCAAGAGATTACTCTCATGCACCTAAAAATTTAAAATTTGCCTCAATTAATCTCAAAGCTACAAAATTTATAGAAAAAACTCATTCAAAATTTAAAAATCGTGAAAAGCTCTAAATTTTTAAAATTTATAACCAATACACATCAAATCTGGAAACTATTGGTAGACTACTAAAATTTAAAATTTTTAAAAATTAATCTATAGTTTTAACAATTACAAAAGCAGCCTCAAATTTTCAAAGTTGTAAGCAATATCGTGCCATTTAAAAATTACCACCGACACATAAAACATAGAAGTTACAACTACCAAACTTAAAATTAAATTTTTTTAAAATACTTTCAAAGTTTTAAAAATTACAAATCACACCCTCAAAAATCAAAACCACAAAAAAGGCTAAAATTTTAAAACTTGGTAAAGAAAAGTATAATTGTTAGGCATTCTTTCATTAAGATATATATATATATTTAATTTTCAATTTAGGGTTTATTATCTCTTTTTAGCATCTAAGACAGTCTAAGTTAATAATGATAAACAAGAGTAATAAGAATTGATTAAAAATATCTGGTTAAGGAATAAAAATGTAAAAAATATTATAGCTTAAAATTATTGACACCATATAAATTAAAGCAAATGTATAAATTTTAGTAATAAGTTGGAGCAGCAAAACACATTAGTAACATTAATTAATAGACGTTTAAATCCATAAAAATGATAAAACCCTATAATATAATAGCTTAGCATTAATTGATTATAATTTAGAAACATTAATCTCTGATGTTAATAATATTTATAGGGTAAAAAAATAAAATGAATTACATATGGAGCAACTATCAGAATATTCAGTGATATACTTTAAAAGAATTAAGTTATTTTCATTATAAATGGGAAAGTGACGAAAATAAGTTTAAAATTCAAAAAACGTCCAATTGGCATTACCATGAGGCATGTCTATTAAAGAAGCACCAACTGAGTTACATTAAAAAATAATTTAATAACTTTATCCCAATCAAAGAAGAGTTTTCCATGGAAGATATAAGAGAAATTAGTAAGCATTCATAAATTTCACACTTTATTCTTCAAATACTAAAAAAATTAAATATTAATATTATAATATAAAGCAAATTTATAATTAAAAATACAGGTATTTAGTTTAGATCTTTGTGAAAAATATCTAGGATAGAGAAAATGTAATATTATTGACATAACAGAAACTCTTATTGGATGCACATCATAAGAATTCATTGTAGAGAAAAAAGAGGTAGCTTCTAATATTATTTAAGTAATAAATTAGGAACACAAAGAATTTGATATATATGAAATTAATATTTATTCTCATTGAAATAAAAAAAAATCAAAGTCTGTATTTCAAGAAGCTTGTGCTGAACATCAGAAATACATTTAACTTCTTTGTGAAGCTAAACGACAAGATAAAAGATTAACGAGATCAGGAAAGATAATAACACAAAAAATACAACTCTAGTATGATGTCATAAATCGAGTAGATGATGAAGATACTACTCTAGATTTGCCTGAGAAAAAGATAACGGTGGGGAATGATTGATCTTAGCTCAATAATAAAACAAAACAGAAGGAATAAAAGATAATATTTTCTAAATATTTAATAAAATAGTTTAATTATTTTGAGTGAATTTAGGAATCTTTAGAATGGAGTTTTATGAGTTTTTAGTACTTTTATATGCTTGTGCAGCTGTTTTTATCATATGAAAGTATACTAGAGTTAGTATTAATCTTTAATTTATAATTTTTTATGAAGACTATCAATGCTTAGGAACAAACTTCATATTCTCTTTTGTATCGTTTTAGCATACTTTTAACCAATTATTTTGTCTTATTGGTTAATATTCACATTCCTTGTATAACACAGTTTTAATATTTTTTACTTTTGCAACATTGTACTTTCTCAAGTAAAGCTTGATTTCGTGTCAATCAAAATAATATGGAAATTCAAATTAGCTTTAAATTATATTTATTTTCTATCAATTCAAATATCAACATGAAAATTTAAATTGGGTGTAACCCATTTAAACAAATATCAAAGAAAATAAATAATCGTAATATTAAAGTTTAGAGACAAAATCGAGCATAAACTATTAAAGTGGAACCGAGGAATAAATTTTAGTTAGAAAATTAGCCAAAAATACTTAATTATGGTATTTAACCATGTGCATTGCACGTGTATAAAACCTAGTAAAATTAAAAGCAATAGTGAGCTTCCGAAAAAGGATTCGGATCCTCTCCACTACAAATAAATAGTGGAGGGACCACTACATAATCACAGCTATTGATTATCTAATTGATGATTGTGATTTTTTCTTTTAGTGCAAATTAAGAATGAGTGCAATATACGGGGTATGGTAAGTGTTAGATTTAGATTGTATCATAACCTCCTACTAAATAATCAACGATTGAGATTAAAAGTAGTGGTCTCTCCACTACTTTTTTAAAAAGTAGTAGAGAAGATCGAAATCCCCGAAAAAAGACCCAATAATTTCCTTTTTTTTATAAATGAAGATCATGTTATCCCATACCACGTCCCAAGCAACAAATCTTTTTAAAGTAAGGTATTTAGTGCCTTCCAAGGAATTATAATTACTAACAAGAATACTTAACTATTCCTTCAAGTGAAAGTATGATTGAAGGGTTTTCATTATGGTCGTCTAATAATAATTTGATACAAAATAAAACTTAAAGCAATAGCGAGCTCCTGAAGAAAAAACCCAATAATTTCCTTTTTATAAATGAAGATCATGTTATCCCATATTACCACTCCCCATGCAACAAATCCTTTTTAAAATAAGATATTTAGTGCATTCCAAGACTGCCCTCAGAACGCAGGGCATCGCCCTCGGAGCGCTCGAGGTCAATTAAGTAAATGCCCCCGGCATCTCTCCGATAAAAAGTTGGAGATAAACCCGTTGAGGCCGTCCTCCGCTCCACGCGGCTCTGTAATGCCCTTCCCTCCAGCGCTTCCAGTCACCGCCCGGTGACGATGTC